TAAATATTTTTTTATACTTTTTTTTAATTTCTCTTTAACATTTTTCATATAAGATTCACTTAACAATTTTTTTATAAATTTTATTTATTTATTTTTAAAATGTTCAAGTGAAATTCAAACTCTATACCTCTAAATTTAGCATAAAAAGTTTTTTACAAAAATAAGATTGTGGTTAAGTCATAAAAACGTTTTCTATCAATTTTCTTTACATTAATTTATTACTAAACAAAAAACTAATAATTTAACAAAACTTCACACCAGAATTTATAAACTTTTCATATTTTGTTTTCCGTAACAGTAATTATGGTAAAAACTTCTACAATAAAGTTGGCGCAAAATCCAATACAAGTTACAATATATCTAGCACGAGATAACTAAAGCTGGCCTGTTTGGCTAGCTAGCTAGCCGAAATGGGCCTTTATGGCCCATGATTCTACACTGCCAGGTGCCAGGATCCAACAATCGAAAAAGTGAGAAAACAGGCGAGGAAGAAGGGTACTCAGAGCCTCAGCATTCTTTTAAGTCAGCAAGGAGCAATGTGACAAAAGTGCAGGTGTAGCAGCACCCTTGTTTCAGAAGCTTCGTCAAAGGTTAAATCAGTATCAGGTCTGATGAGATCGACTCTGTCCAAGAGAGAATCACTGTTGTTTCAGAAGGTTTGTCAAAGGTTAAAAACGTTTTCCTATTATTTTGTCTGCAGCAGCTCTCCACGGTTGAGGCTTTGAGAGCGTGTCCTGCTCGCCTTCTCTTCTGTGTCTGCTCTGTACTTCGGAGCTACCGCTGCGGGGGGCGCCCTGGCACTGCATGTTTTGGACGTTAATCGTCTGTTGTGTCACTCTCATTATCCAGTCCACGGCTTTCAAGGTTAAGATATTTTCAGCATTAATGAAATTACCCTTTTATCTAAAGGTTTAACTTTATAGTCTTTAGTTAGTTCCCTATTTCCCATAAAAAGGGCAATTACTTCGGTTAAATTGAGAAAAATCAGAAATTTTATGTGGATTAAAATACTA